TTAAAAGGCAATCAGCTTTCTTTTCTTTATGTTATTACAGACTGTGCAGGACTTATTAAATGTCTGTTTTCATTTAATTGCTTATTTTCTTCTCATCCAGTCGTCTCCATATCCTTTGCTCTCATATTCTGATCTTCTGATCCTCTGACTTTCTAATTTTCTGACTTTCTGAGGAATATCCTGTCAAAATATCCGTGTAAGGTATAACAAGGATTGTCTATGGCATAGTACTGAGCGCATACATACGTCAACTTTTCATACCTTTCAACATTTCACGCATTGCTACATTTCATCTTTCCACCTTTTCGTACATTTCAACATCTGATATATCTCAAGATTTAATACATCCCATCTGTTCATACATAAGCTAAAGCAAGGTGATTTAGTGCGTGATATTGTTTTCCAACTCGCTTTCACCAAGTTAGAAAGAAAGAAGATCAGAGGAACAGAAAGTCACAAAATTGGGTAACTAAGTACATTTTAGAAATTTCTTTGTTTACTTAAAAATAAGCATAATGGTTCTGCTCGCATTATATTAATAATAAAAAGACAAAGTGTTTGCTTTTATTAAAATTTCTTATTTAACGACATGGGCTGCAACCATCTGAAACATTGAAAGGGACCTTCCATGTTTTTAATTAGGTTCATTTTGTCACTTTAATTTTGTCACCTTTCTTTAATCCACTTCTGTCTCCTGCATTCAAAATAATACAGCCGTGACTAGCCGAACCGTCTCCTTTTTTGTTATCACCATGAATTTGAAATGCAGAACGACCAAACATATTGTTACTTGTATCTGGTTTTAGGTTGCATCGCTCACCCGCTTTATCGCAACTATTTGATACTGTATAACCTCCGATTGGTATCGGACCGAAGCCTTTTTTCGTCTGGTCCTGTTCGCCTTTGGAACCACTGTAACCTGTTCTACAAACACCGGTACCATCGTCACAAAACTTTCCTGTTGATTGAGAATAAGTGTAAGACATTGTTAATCAGACGGATCCGCTAAAGTAGAAAAGGGAGATGCAAATAAGCAATTAAATGAAAACAGACATTTAATAAGTCCTGCACAGTCTGTAATAACATAAAGAAAAGAAAGCTGATTGCCTTTTAATCAGCTAAAAAGTGTACGAAAACTTCTCGTTGTCTTCACGATCACCGTATTTTGTCTTTATTTCACTGTAAATCACAGCTTAAAAGCAGGCGTTTGTATGTACATACTTAAAACTATTCACATCGGCCGTTAATGCCTGTTGCCAACAAATTTGTCTCTGCCCGTTTTGAAAACACTTAGAAATTTTCTCTTCTTCGATTATACAAATCATCGAAACTTGTCTCAGAAAGGTAATTTTTAATTCTGGTTCTGACACTAATGATGGAACGTGTAGTTTTAATGAATCAGAAAATACCGAAATTGGTGAATTTACCATAACGGCCAGCAAAATGAACATCATAACATGTTCATTTTTTGATCGGGAAACTGTAGTCACATTTCCAACGTCCTCGGAACCTTCGTCGAGGGAAACTGGCAAATGTGTGTAAAAGCGACTCTTCGTCCCATTCGTCTCACCTGAAAACCTTTCCTCGTCAAAACCGGCATTTGAAGTTGCTCGTTCATTTTTTACATCTTAGGAGAAGATCAACTTGGAATACATACCACAGGTATATAGATATTGTAAGAAATTATGAAGCTTCCACTACCAAAATTTGTAAAAATGTACGATTGTGACTTTTCACTTCTTCGAAAAACTCTCTAACTCGTAATCACACTTGATATTTATAGGTAACACAATAGTTGGAATTTTCCAACTTGCTTTATCAGTAAGAACAGAAAAGGGAAGGAGGGAGTTAAATAGTAGTAGAATTGTCGGTTGAAAATTTCTTACCCAGTTTTTACTTTAAAGAACAGAAAAACTCAGTATCACCTTTTTGTGACATCACTTGTAGGTTGAAAAAATCTTTTGACATACACATTATGTAAATGCTGAGCTGATTCATTTTACCGTTCTGAGTTTCAAGCACTTTTTATTAGAAAAATATGCACAGAAATGAATACACCCAATCTCAGAAAAGTTCAAATTTCATTGATAGATAGAGTAAAATACTACATAACTACTGGCGAAATGTCAGAGTAGCACTGTACTTCGTTGACCATATACCTACATTATAAAGGCATGCCTTGTCCTCCTTCTGAAGTTGAAGATCATAATCACGGAGAAGCGGAGAGAGAACAGTAGGTAAAAACCATCAGAGTTTACAACTTTTGCTCCTCCCATCTTCGACAACCAATAATAGGAGGTGTTCAAACATACTCACACTTGAGACATTGTTTAATAGATCTGAGAGTTTTCACCCAGAAATATTTACTGATAATAAGAAAAATATTATTTTTCTATGATATTGTCCTGTTGTTGTAATACATTCTAACTATACGGTTGTTCGATCATATTTAGCGAAACTGGCTCAGATGAACGATCCATCTTGTACTCGTGTTGAAATTCCGATGAAATACACAAGTATGCTTATGATCGATTTTCAACGAAAGTAACAAAGGAGAATGTTTTCGTTGAAAATTCAATTGTATTCAGAGAATGGTTCTAATCTAGATCGTTCTACAATGCTTCATTTACAATACGAAATGTCGATGTTAGCGTCTTGTTAGAACGTTCAAATTGAAAATCATAATTTCTGACAAATTGCATATCAATCTACTTTGTTAGAATAAGTTCATTCAAAACGTTTCCGCATAGTCAAGGAAAAGGAAATGATCTTACACAATTGTCATATTCTGAAGAAGTCGACTTCATTCTTGCTCCAAAAGAACCGCCTTTCGACACGCAACAAAGTTATAGCCTTCGTTTTTTTCTATGACGTTTTTGTGCTGAGAAAGAACATACAGAAATAAATTTAGAGCTTTTCGTGTAAATTCTATAACTTTGGAAAGAAAGGTCGTGTAGGGCTGGGAGATGTCTCATTTTAATCAGAAATGTGCGGGCTACAATCACGCCTCATTAAAAGAAGGTTTTGGTTATTTTGAAAAACTGGTTTTCTCAGCACAAAAACGTCATAGAAAAAAACGAAGGCTATAACTTTGTTGCGCGTCGAAAGGCGGTTCTTTTGGAGCAAGAATGACGTCTCTAGGTATTCAGCAAAAAAACTAGTAGGCTTTGCCATTTTCCATAGTGCAAGCAAAGGGTGTAGGCCGCTTGGATTTGCGTAGGGAGGACGTTGTATGCGATCGAGCTCAAGACAACTTTTTTAGGCTCATTTTCATACGAGGAATCCGAATATCACGTCGGAAATTTCATAAAATGAAAAGCAAAATTTTTGGGGTAATTTTTCGGAAAACATAGATTTTTCGAGTTTTTGGCAGTTTGTCAGTATTTTCCATTTTTCTCCGTCAAAACTTTGTTTAAATCAAATAATAAGGCCAGATTCGGAATCAGCAGCATACAACGAATCCGAATATGTGTGTTTAAACGAAAAATAAAAAGTGCTGAAATTTTGAATTACCGGCGCCTTAGGTCTAGACAGAAGGTCGACCTGACTCAGAGTTCTCCGCTTAATGACTTAAGCTTCCTGCAGATACTGACTACCCACATACTAGCCTCAAGGACTATTAGTGTATGTCAACCGCGTAGTCAGTTTGTTATCGAATGGGTGATCCGAGACAAAACAACCGTTAATAACTTGTCCAAGATTATTCTATGACTGATGGAATAGAAGTTCGAACACAGTATCTCGTGGATATTCATACAGTGAACAGACTGATTCTTCAATAAATCATAAAATCTTCCTTGTATTTTCTTCATCAAATACTTTGATTTGATTGTTTCTTTTTAAAGCTATGTTTGTGCCTGACATCAAATATCTAAAACTGTCGGAGTGGGTGCGCGCAAAGGCTTTGGGAGTGAGTATCGGTGCGGCTCTTTTTGCTATAGTAACACCTAAATACAGTCACATACATGAACACCCACCCACGCAGAAACACACTTACATCCCACAACTGAGACCCACGTCCACATGCACGCCCGGCAAAGACACACCCATACACACCTACATATCCTATACCCGCACTCACACCATAGTTTATTCGAAGGATCGTTCTCAAGAAAAAAACATGTTTAATCAAGATCTACTCGAAACATCCATTATGTGTTTGAATCAATATTGAATTTTTGTACTCGACGATTTCTGTAATCGACAACATAGAGATTACCGTGTTGATCGAATGACAAACCGATGGGCCAATAGAGTTGGTTCGATTGTCCTCCTGTACCGTTTCCACCAACAATGACACTTCCCTTTGTGGCTCCTTTGGGCCAACGCATTATTTCATGATTCCCTCGATCAGCCACATACACAGTGCCCAATTGATCGACAACGACTTCTTCAGAATATGACAATTGTGTAAGATCATTTCCTTTTCCTTGACCACCCGCCACGACAATGCCTTGTTTTGCACCTTCCACCCATTTCATCACACGATGATTTCCCCAATCAGATACGTATACTGATTAGGGATGTTCGGTTCTCGGTTCTAGTTAAGAACCGGAACCGCTGTTCGGTTTTGCGTGAGGAACCGGAACCACGGTTCGGTTTTGCGTGAGGAACCGGAACCGCGGTTCTCTTGTTTTCGGTTCTTCATCTGGAATCGGAACTGCGGTTCCGGTACTAACAAATCTCCTACTGTGGCGAATCATCTTTCTTTTTCAATTAATTCTACAGTAATGAAACGCGAGCAGTCTGCTGTTCTCCAAACTAACACACGATATGAGTTGGGGCGAGCATGTTAAGGATATTGTTTTAGGTACTAGGCGTAGGTTAGGTGTGATGTTTAGAATTTTTAAGGATGCTCCACGATCAATACGGTTAAGATTATATAAGGCGTGTATTTTAAGTAAATTAGATTACTGTAGTATAATGCACGATAGTGCATGGTTTAGTGCTAGTTTAGATAAGATCACAAAATTAGCTGCCAGGTTCATTGTTAAGAAATTCAATGGTTCCGTCAGTCAGTTAGTAGAGATGTTAGGTCTCCTGATCTTACGTTAAGAAGAAAATATTTCTGTCTTTTACATTTTTTATAATATATTGATCTTCAATGCACCAGCGCTGGATGTTGCACCTTCATTCGATATATTACTATCCGAAACATCTAGTTATTCGAGTGTTAAATTGACCTTCAGCGCATCAGCGATGAATGGTGCACCTTCATTCGATATATTATTTTTGGAAATATCCAGCCATTCGAGTGTTCTGTGGATCTTCACTGCATCAGCGATGGATGTTACACCTTCACTCGATAAATTACTGTTCGAAATATCCAGCCACTCTAGTGTGTTATTTACTCTCAATGCATCAGCCACGGATGTTGCACCTTCAATCCATATATTATTATTCGAAATATCCAGCCACTCCAGTGTGTTATTGATCTTCAATGCAGCAGCGCTGGATGTTGCACCTTCATTCGATAAATTACTATTCGAAATATCCAGCCACTCTAGTCGAACAGTCGAAAACTCGGAAACCAAATGTTGCAACTGAAAAGTCGATAAGTCGAATAGTCGAAAAGTCGAAAGTCAAAAGTTGAACGTCAAAAGTTGAAAGTCGCATATTCGAATACTCGAAAAGTGGAAAAGTGGAATACTCGAATAGTCGAATACTGGAAAAGCCGAATAGTCGAAAAGTGGATAATCGAAAGTTGAAAGTCAAAAGTCGAATAGTCGCAAAGCTGAAAGTCAAAAAGTTGAAACTCAAAAAGTTGAAACTCAAAAAGTTAAAACTCAAAAAGTTGAAAGTCAAAAGTCGAATAGTGGAAAAGTCAAAAGCAAAATATTGAAAGTCAAAAGTCGAATAGTCAACAAGTTGAAACTCAAAAGTTGAAAGAGAAAAGTCGAATAGACGAATAGTCGAAAAGTCGAAAATCATAACTAGAAATTCAAAAGACGAATAGTCGTATAGTCGAACGTAAAAAGTCGCTAACCGCAATTTGAAAGTCAAAAGTCGAATAGTCCAACAGTCGAAAGCCGAATAGTCGAAAACCCGAAAGTCAAAAGTCAAAAAATTGAACAGTCAAAAAGTCGATAATCGAAAGTTGAAAGTCAAAAGTCGAAAAGTCGAAAAGTCGAAAAGTCGAAAACGAAAGCTTGGGATTCAAAAGTCAAATAGACGAATACTCGAAAAGTTGAAAGTCAAAAGTCGAATAGTCGCAAAGTTGAAAGTCAAAAAGTTGAAAGTCAAAAGTCGAATAGTCAACAAGTCGAAACTCAAAAGTTGAAAGAGAAAAGTCGAATAGACGAATAGTCCCATAGTCGAAAGTCAAAAATCGGATAGTCAAAAAGTCGGAAAACGAAAACTTGGGATTCAAAAGTCAAATACACGAAGAGTCGAAAAGTCGAATAGTCGAACAGTTGAAAGTCAAAAGATGAACGTCAAAAGTTGCAAGTCGAAAAGTCGATAATCGAAAGTTAAAAGTCAAAAGTCGAAACCTGAATCGGCAAAAACTCGACAATTGAAAGTTACAAGTGAAAAGTCGAATAGTGGGAAAGTCGAATAGTCGAAAGCCGAATAGTCGAAAAGTCGGTAATCGAAAGTTAAAACTCAAAAGTCGGAAAGTCGAAAAGTCAAAAGATGAACGTCAAAAGTTAAAAGTCGAAGAGTCGAAAAGTCGATAATTGAAAGTTCAAAGTGAAAAGTCGAATAGTGGAAAAGTCGAATAGTGGAAAAGTCGAATAGTCGAATACTCGTAAAGTCGAATAGTCGAAAAGTCAAATAGTCCAAAACTCGATAATCGAAAGGCGAAAGTAAAAAGTCGAAAGCTGAATCTGAAAGCTGAGCAAAAAGTCGATAATTGAAAGTTCCAAGTGAAAAGTCGAATAGTGGAGAAGTCGAATAGTCGAGAAGTCGAATAGTCCAAAAGTCAAAAACAAAATACTGAAAGTCGAAAGTCGAGTAGTGAACAAGTCGAAACTCAAAAGTTGAAAGAGAAAAGTCGAATAGACGAATAGTCGTCTAGTCGAAAGTCAAAAGTCGAATAGCTGAAAAGTGGAATAGTGGAAAAGTCGAATAGTCCAAAACTCGATAATCGAAAGTTGAAAGTAAAAAGTCGGATAGTCTAATAGTTCGAGGTCAAAAGTTGAAACTCGAAAGTCGATTCGAAAAGTCGATAATGGAAAGTTGAAAGTCAAAAGTCGAAAAGTCCAAAAGTCGTAAACGAAAACTTGGGATTCAAAAGTCAAATAGACCAATACTCCAAAAGTTGGAAGTGAAAAAGTTGAAAGTCAAAAAGTTGAAAGTCAAAAGTCGAATAGTCGAATAGTCGAAAAGCCGACGGTCAAGAGTCAAAAAATCGAACGTTCAAAAAGTCGATAATCGAAAGTTCAAGGTCAAAAGTCGAAAAGTCGAAAACGAAAACTTGGGATTCAACCGTC